CCAACCTGACCCACCCAACTCACTACCAACACCTTCCTAACCCACCCACCCACTACCAACACCCACCTGACCCACCAAACCATTATTACTACCTACCTGACCCACCCAACTTACTACCAATGCCCACCTTACCCACCCAACCATCAACGACCAATCACCTGACTAACCCAACCCACTACCACCGCCAACCTGACCCACCCAACCCACTACCACCACCAACCTGACCCACCCAACCCACTACTACCACCAACCTGACCCACCCAACCCACTACCACCACCAACTGACCCACCCAACCCACTACCACCACCAACCTAACCCCCCCAACTCACTACCACACCAACCTAACCCACCCAACCCACTACCACCACCAACCTGACCCACCCAACTCACTACCACCACCAACCTGACTCACCCAACTCACTACCACCACCAACCTGACCCACCCAACTCACTACCACCACCAACCTGACCCACCCAACTCACTACCACCACCAACCTGACCCATCCAACCCACTACCACCACCAACCTGACCCACCCAACCCACTACCACCACCAACCTGACCCACCCAACCTACTACTACCACCAACCTGACCCACCCAACCCACTACCACCACCAACCTGACCCACCCAACCCACTACCACCACCAACCTGACCCACCCAACCCACTACCACCACCAATCTGACCCACCCGACTCACTACCACCACCAACCTGACCCACCCAACCCACTACCACCACCAACCTGACCCACCCAACTCACTACCACCACCAACCTGACCCACTCAACTCACTACCACCACCAACCTGACCCACCCAACTCACTACCACCACCAACCTGACCCATCCAACTCACTACCACCACCAACCTGACCCACCCAACCCACTACCACCACCAACCTGACCCACCCAACCCACTACCACCACCAACCTGACCCACCCAACTCACTACCACCACCAACCTGACCCACCCAACCCACTACCACCACCAACCTGACCCATCCAACTCACTACCACCACCAACCTGACCACCCAACTCACAACCACCACCAACCTGACCCACCCAACCCACTACCACCACCAACCTGACCCACCCAACCCACTACCACCACCAACCTGACCCACCCAACTCACTACCACCACCAACCTGACTCACCCAACTCACTACCATCACCAGCCTGACCCATCCAACTCCTACCACCACCAACCTGACCCACCCAACCCACTACCACCACCAACCTGACCCACCCAACCCACTACCACCACCAACCTGACCCACCCAACTCACTCCCACCACCAACCTGACCCACCCAACCCACTACCACCACCAACCTGACCCATCCAACTCACTACCACCACCAACCTGACCCATCCAACCCACTACCACCACCAACCTGACCCACCCAACTCACTACCACCACCTACTTCATTTACAACCCTTAAAATAATACTCGTGATCAAGAGATTGTAAACATTTCACGGAATAAGGATGATTGGAATGCATTGTAAGCCAATCCCATATCAGTCAGACCGGTGATCCAATCACCACACCATGTTAACATAACAAGAACTGTCAAACCAGGTATACTGCCTTGTAAACAGGGGAATAAACCAGGTATACTGCCTTGTAAACAGGGGAATAAACTAGGTATACTGCCTTGTAAACAGGGAAATAAACCAGGTATACTGCCTTGTAAACAGGGAAATAAACCAGGTCTGCTGCCTTGTAAACAGGGAAACAAACCAGGTATACTGCCTTGTAAACAGGGAAATAAACCAGGTATACTGCCTTGTAAACAGGGAAAAAAAACCAGGTATACTGCCTTGTAAACAGGAAATAAACCAGGTATACTGCCTTGTAAACAGGGAAATAAACCCCAGGTATACTGCCTTGTAAACAGGGAAATAAACCAGGTATACTGCCTTGTAAACAGGGAAATAAACCAGGTATACTGCCTTGTAAACAGGGAAATAAACCAGGTATACTGCCTTGTAAACAGAGAAATAATCCAGTATACTTCCTTATAAACAGGGAAGATTTCTTAACGTCCTTAGCGGGTCAACTATGAGACACCAAGTCACGTCACCATCGATCCCGTGTACCTGGAGGGTGCTCCGGGGGTCAACGCCATCGCGACCCGGTCCATGACCAGGCCTCGTGGTGGATCAGAGTCTGATCAACCAGGCTGTTACTGCTGGCTGTCCCGTAATTAAGCTGACAATCAGTTTCATCTGTCAGGTTGCTTCTCCTCGCGAGGACTGCAAGAGCTAGGATGCGGAGTGACTTTTGTTGCTAGTAGTGTTGCTGAGAGAGTGATTGGTTGTGTTAGTTGTGTTGCTGATGCCACTTAAGTTGCATGTTTGGAATCAAGGCGGGTTCTCCAGCCACTGTATTTTAAGTGAGTATTTTAAGTGAGTAAGTACTTTAAGTGAGTATTTTAAGTGAGTCTCTAAGGACTTCATCAGTCCTTAGAGATTCACTTAAAATACTTACGAGCTTTTCATAGAGTTGCCATTAGAAGATGAAAATGGAAGAGGCATCCCCTTATTCTTTCTGGGAATTCTATATACTCACCAAGAAACAGTACACGATAAACCCACCAGTGAGGACGACCTGATACATTACCTCCTCCAAAACCAGAAGAAAACGGTGTGTCATTAAAGAAGTGTACCTCCGAGCACTCACGATTTGAAATGGTGTATACCTTTCAGAATAAGATAAATATGATCTCTTAACAAGTAGCACATGACACTTTTTAGTCGTAAGACTCTGACACACAGCTTCACTTTAGTGTGTCTTCTCTCTGTCGTCTGAAGTCGTACAGCCCATGAGGGCATCGCGCTTACTTGTGAATATAATAATAGTAATAATAATAATAATAATAATAATAATAATAATAATAATAATAATAATAATAATAATAATAATAATAATATGCGCAGGTCCTCCTGACACAGGTGTTGCAACATTCACAGGTCCTCCTGACACAGGTGTTGCAACATTCACAGGTCCTCCTGACACAGGTGTTGCAACATTCACAGGTCCTCCTGACACAGGTGTTGCAACATTCACAGGTCCTCCTGCCACAGGTCCTCCTGCCACAGGTCCTCCTGCCACAGGTCCTCCTGCCACAGGAGTTGCAACATTCACAGGTCCTGACACAGGTGTTGCAACATTCACAGGTCCTCCTGACACAGGTGTTGCAACATTCACAGGTCCTCCTGCCACAGGTCCTCCTGCCACAGGTCCTCCTGCCACAGGTGTTGCAACATTCACAGGTCCTGACACAGGTGTTGCAACATTCACAGGTCCTCCTGACACAGGTGTTGCAACATTCACAGGTCCTCCTGACACAGGTGTTGCAACATTCACAGGTCCTCCTGACACAGGTGTTGCAACATTCACAGGTCTTGACACAGGTGTTGCAAAATTCACAGGTCCTCCTGACACAGGTATTGCAACATTCACAGGTTCTCCTGACACAGGTGTTGCAACATTCACAGGTCCTCCTGACACAGGTGTTGCAACATTCACAGGTCCTCCTGACACAGGTGCTGCAACATTCACAGGTCCTCCTGACACAGGTGTTGCAACATTCACAGGCTCTCCTGACACAGGTGTTGCAACATTCACAGGTCCTCCTGACACAGGTGTTGCAACATTCACAGGTCCTCCTGACACAGGTGTTGCAACATTCACAGGTTCTCCTGACACAGGTGTTGCAACATTCACAGGCTCTCCTCACACAGGTGCTGCAACATTCACAGGTCCTCCTGACACAGGTGTTGCAACATTCACAGGTCCTCCTGACACAGGTGTTGCAACATTCACAGGTCCTCCTGACACAGGTGTTGCAACATTCACAGGTCCTCCTGACACAGGTGTTGCAACATTCACAGGTCCTCCTGCCACAGGTGTTGCAACATTCACAGGTCCTCCTGACACAGGTATTGCAACATTCACAGGCTCTCCTGACACAGGTATTGCAACATTCACAGGTCCTCCTGACACAGGTATTGCAACATTCACAGGTCCTCCTGACACAGGTATTGCAACATTCACAGGCTCTCCTGACACAGGTATTGCAACATTCACAGGTCCTCCTGACACAGGTATTGCAACATTCACAGGTCCTCCTGCCACAGGTGTTGCAACATTCACAGGTCCTCCTGACACAGGTATTGCAACATTCACAGGCTCTCCTGACACAGGTATTGCAACATTCACAGGTCCTCCTGACACAGGTGCTGCAACATTCACAGGTCCTCCTGACACAGGTGTTGCAACATTCACAGGTCCTCCTGACACAGGTGCTGCAACATTCACAGGTTCTCCTGACACAGGTGCTGCAACATTCACAGGTCCTCCTGACACAGGTGCTGCAACATTCACAGGTCCTCCTGACACAGGTGCTGCAACATTCACAGGTTCTCCTGACACAGGTGCTGCAACATTCACAGTCTCCTGACACAGGTGTTGCAACATTCACAGGTCCTCCTGACACAGGTGCTGCAACATTCACAGGTCCTCCTGACACAGGTGTTGCAACATTCACAGGTCCTCCTGACACAGGTGCTGCAACATTCACAGGTCCTCCTGACACAGGTGCTGCAACATTCACAGGTCCTCCTGACACAGGTGCTGCAACATTCACAGGTCCTCCTGACACAGGTGCTGCAACATTCACAGGTCCTCCTGACACAGTAGAGGAGAAGGAGGAAGGAAAAACAGTATTTACCACATTAAGGTCGCCCCGTCATCAACAATGGCTGCGCTGGAGCCTCACTTAATCCTTAATATTAATACAGTTAAATATTATTACCCCTAATATTATTTCTCAAAATTCACGAATGAGAATCACTCGCAGGAAGGAGCTTTCAGTCTATCTCGTTGCCTGGGCAACGATTATCCTCTGAAATACTCTATTTTTTCCGAAGATAAAGAGGAAGTCGGCTCCACTAGTAGAGTGTATATATAGCAGTGCACACGGTATTAGGGATCAGTGTTGAGTTCCCAGTATCAAGGTACAGTATACACAGCTGTTTACAACTGACACCACATTGCAATATTAAGATTATTATTTAGGGAGATTTTTTTTTTTTTGTGGGGGGGGGGGTGAGTATTTTTACGATAGGATACTTCAGGATAAACTATGTGGTGTATTTTCTTTGGGGTCCTCGTATTTTGATTTGCATGGGATACTTATAGAAAGCCTCTTCTGATCGGCTGCTGTCTCTTAACACTGGTGTATCCTGCTCAGGAAAAAAAGTTGGCATTGTTAGTAGAATGAGCAATTTCCATTCTGACTTCGTTAATTTCGAAACATTATAACATAATATTTCTTTCCCGAAATGCGACCCAAGACAGTCGACTAACTCCTAGGTGTCTATTCACTGCTAGATGAACAGGGGCAAAGTTCGACTCACTCGGAAACCGAACCGAAGACTTTAATGGTTGTGAGCCGAACGTCCTTCCGCTCAGAGCCGGATTAAGATTTTGTAGGCCCCTGGACTACAGGTACTGTGAAGTCCCTTGGCTACAAGTACTGTGAGGCCCCTGGGCTACAGGTACTGTGAGGTCCCCAGTAATATTTTCAAAGGAAAAAGAGTTAAAAGAAATATTAAATTTATTTTTACAAGGTTAACCAAAATTAAAATTCAAACATTTGCTTCGCGTAATTTCTTGGAAATAAATTTCTCCAAAACATCAATCAACTGTAAATTGTTGAGAACATCTCTGGAAGCCCTCCAGCTGCGGAGGCCCCTGGGATGCAGCCCCTGGAGGCCCTCCAGCTGGCGGAGGCTCCTGAGCTGCAGCCCCTAAAGCCCATGCCTTAATCTGGCCCTGAGTTCCACTCCACTACACCTTAACTTCTCTTAGACGTTGCTGGGATTTATTTGAAGGATTATTTTTTCATTCCATCGCTAGTCTTATTATTTCCACGGCTGATAATGGTATCTCCATAGCTAGTTGTTATCTCCATGGTTGTTAATGTCAACGCAGCTCCTTCGGTTGGTTGCTATATCACAGCTCAGTCTGTAAGAACAACCTTTGTATACATAAACAAACCGCACGTGGGAGAAAGAAACTTATGACGACGTTTCGGACCGACTTGGACCATTAGCTAGTGACTAGTTAATGATCCAAGCCGGACCGAAACGTTCCTATAAGTTTCTTTCTCATATGTGCAGGTTATATGAGTATTGTTCCACTCACAGTAATGGGTATTTTTATTCTTTTCACAGCTTTCCGCTGTAAAAGAATTGCATAACTTATAGTTATCCTGTGAAAGGCTGGTTGCATTTCCCTCATATATCAGCTCTCCCATGGTCAGGATAAGAACCATTTATGTACATTAGTCAGTCATGGTAGCTGTAGTGAAGATCATTCTTTCATCTACTGTGAATTTCATACGGGCGTACAAGCTGCTGCCCCCCGTCCACCTTCGCAGAGAAGTACCGGCAGTGCTACTGTCTGGTGGCAAACGACATGGTTCTGTGAAGAGGTAGAAAGGGTTTAGTTTGATTAGCAATCCAGGGAGGTTAAATAACTCAGGATAACTCATTTAAGGCAGCCAGCGTAGCTTATTTCCCACTGGAGGCCCTTTCTTTTCAGGTCACCCCACAGGGGGGCTCTAGAATTTCCGTACTGGGGTGGGCTGAGGGGTGACTATCTGGTTGGAAGAGGGAAGGAGCTAGGAGACCTGTTTCGAAGCATAGTTTTTGTTATAATTATTTTTATTTGGGGTATTTGCGAGACTAAGGAATATTTTTTGTGGGTGCAGAAGCCCCAACTCCCCCTTGCTTCTGCCCCTGTCTCCTCACCCCAGCATGTGACTCACAGCTGTTTTTTTTTTTTTTTTTTTATTCGCCGGTACTCTCCCGGCCCGGGTCTTTTCCAAGTAGTGGTGACCCGGCCTTGGCTCCCTATCTGGGGAGTATATCGAGACGTAAGTCTCCCATGGGAGGAGGCACAAGTACCCCCTCATCTTTGGGACTAACTGTCCCCAGGCCTAGCCACATTCCCCGCCCTCACGGGGCTCGTAGGGAGAAGCTAGTCCTCTGGTCTGCCATCTGCCCCGCCCCAAAGGGGCTCGTGGGGATGGCAGTCTTATGAGCTGCAGATGGTAGCAAGCTCAGGCTCTACCTTTCCACACTGTTGACAAACTACTGTATAAGAGGTAACACACATCACAGGATAAACCTTCTTCGGGTCAACGTTCTCGCTTTGTGTGGCTCTTCATCACATCATCCCTTGATAAGTGTCTGTGTAAAGCGAAACGTTCATCCCATCAGAACTTCTGAAGATTGATGGACTGAACACATCGACTCAAGGTTGAGGGACTGATTACCTCATTCTCCTCCTGTTCTTCAAGTTTCTCCTACGTATGGACTGATGAAGCCACTGTGTGGCGAAACGTTTCCTCAATAAAGATACCCAAGAGTTGCACATGTGTCTAATTTATCAACATGTCGGTTCTCTGAACCATCCTTCTACAAACCCATCAGAACTTGTTCGACGACCTTTCGACCTCCCCCCTCCCCTCACCATTGTCGTCAGCAAGCCATCAACCTATAACTCCCAAGCACCTACTTGCTGACAAGCAGCATTTGCAGCTGTCAGGCGACAGGGTAATCAATACAAGAGGTAGTTTACTGAACCACGCTGAACCATGCACTACTGACAGCGGCTAGTTAAGTAATATTATAATATTAATGTTGTTTTATTGATGGAAGCGGAGAGGCAACACCGGTCGCTCGAGGCTGCTGAGCCACTGAGAGTCTCACATGTACACTATCATTATTCCGCAACTAATGAACGCACGGCTACATTTCGTACAAGAAAGCCTGGATTTCTTGCACATAATGAGGCGTAGTTGTACCGTAATCACAGAGAGTGATCCAGTGTCTAATGCAGCGCTGTTCGTTATCTTCTAATGGTCTGAACGCTTCCTTCAGCGCTGCTATGTCTTGATAACTGGACTTATCTGCATATATCAGGACTTTCCTCCAGCTAGTTTAGAATCCCCTGAAAAGGGTTTCAGGTTAGACGAAAATATTTAGCCCATATATATATATATATATATATATATATATATATATATATATATATATATATATATATATATATATATATATATATATATAATATATATATATTATGCAATAAGATCACAGTAAACAGGTGATTTCGGAATATGCAAAACAACCACTCTGAAAAAAATAGAGAAATTATAAGCGCTTTCGTGACTACTCACATTATCAAGGAACTTTATAATGTGAGTAGTCACGAAAGCGCTTGGAATTTCTCTATTTTTTCAGAGTGGTTGTTTTGCATATATATATACATATATATATATATATATATATATATATATATATATATATATATATATATATATATATATATATATATAACCCACTTTCAACAGATATACTAGTGTTACTGTAAAATATTATACAACAAAGTGGTATCCATGAGTGTAGGAATCATCCAACCATAACAATTACAATTGATATGTTCTAACAGATGCGGTTCTGGGAGGTGGTTGTGTTGATGGTGATGGCGTCTGTGAGTCTGGTGGCACCACAGGCGGAGATGCAAGACCAAGTATCCCAAGAGGCGGCACTGCAGGAGGATGACAAAGGAACCCTTGCCTTGGATGACAGGAATCGCTTCTTCGGTACATTCCAGACTAGCACCCGCAGTTTGGTATCCCTTATTACTTCTACTGTCTTCTTCAGTTGTCTCTCAGGTACCGCTACCGCCAGTGTCTGCACCGGGCGTCGCCGACGGCGTGCGTTATCTATGGACAAACCGAAGTCGCTCATCGTGGATCCAAATGAGTAAGTAGCGAGAGGGTAGATGAAAACTGAAAAAAAAATAAAAAGAGAAGTAAAATGTGAAAGCAAGGAATACATCTGTAACATTGTAAAACTAACCCATATTATGGAAATGAAAACAGAATAATATTTTGGTTCAATATCAGTGCTCCAGGAACAACGTATAGTTTTCCTTCCAGTTTGTGACCAGAGGGATCTCCCTGAGAGTAGACTGAAATTTCATGAATGGAAGATGTCGATAGTCGTCCTTGCCTTAGGCAACACTGGCTGAGCCTCTCCTGGCCAGAGTGACGTGGTTATATCCTCTCATGGAGTACACTCACTCTTTCTGCTGATTGTTATATCTATAAACACTTGTTTTAGAAAGATAGTATATTTAAAAGTAGAGTCATATGTATTTCTGGCTACTGTTATCTGCAGTGACCACTGAAAACAACATTAGTAAAACAACGGTCGATGTTGCCTTGGTCTGTCATAGGTTATATCGAACGACGTAACGGGTGGGGCATGAACCTGTGGCCTGGAGTTTTGCGACTCACTCGCCATAGGTTCAAACCCCACCCGTTCCGTTGTTTGTATGCAATCGTCTTATTACTATTTCGTGAGCCAAAGGCTCTCTTATTTTCACTTGCGTCCTTAGACATTGCCGTTATTCTGCGCCTCTGTTATAGAGCCAGAACGAGTGCCCGGCTTATTTTACTGCAAAGCTCCACGTTGCCTCTTCTGTTGTACTTTCAGACTCTAATGGTCCATGTCGGACCGAGACGTCGTCATATATTTCAGTCTGCTATGTGCGGGTTATTTGTGTATTGTGTGTTATGTATATTTCAAACTTTCACCGTACCATACAAGCGGTCTTATCGTTTAATAAACCTTGGTAATAAATTCCGACAAACTGGTTTAGAAAGACACACGAGCAAACACTAGGACATATTAGAAAACGTGATCAAGGTCCCAGAACCGAAACGTTTTCTAATAAGTCCTAGTAAACCATACCCCGGTCGGGATTGAACCCGCGGTCATAGACCGCGGGTTCAATCCCGGCCGGGGTATGGTGTGTTTGCAATCGAGTCATTACGATTTCGTGAGTCAATATGTCCTAGTGTTTGCTCACGTGTTGTTGTAAACCAAGCGATCTTATACAGTGATTCCTCCCGTCCCACTGTTCTGTGCATTCATTACTGGTTCTGTCTGCTCTTCAGCAAGCACAGAAATCATCTTTTGAAGCGACCGGAATGTGGCTTCTCTTATTCAGAGCAATTATTTACAGTCTACTCTCCAAGTCCCACAGTTTCCAGCAAGGTGTCTCTCCCATTGTTGGACAAGGAGTATTTTTTCAGTACTGTCCCGGCGACTTGAAGACTCCGGAGTTATGGATTGTAGTGACCAATAAATTGTTTGTAATTAAACCTCACAATGGTCAGTCTGGTTTCCTCGAGGCCGGTTATGAGACACGGAGTTCAGTTCCTGCGTATCTGATGTTTGTACCTCGCACATAAACTGTCTGGATCTGTGCTCCAGTTCCCTGAATTGAGCCTTCCATAATCTCTGCTCCCAACCCAACAGGCGCTGTATAACCCCTATGGGTTTAACGCTCCCCTTTGATAATAATAATAATGTGATTACTGTCCTCACAGTCAAATATCTTTTGGCTGATGGTCCCGCTTTTACAGAGAGTGAGCAGACATCAGTTGTGATCACCCCTTCAGCGTCCTGATGCCCTCTCACTCTGGTTCTCCTCTTGGACCGCATTTTATGAAGATTCTGTAACTTTTTATAATTAAAAGCTTCCCTATTTCACTAACTTTAACCACCTTTTGTTTATCCTCGACACTTCTCTTCTCTGACGTCAAGATCTCTTAATTATGCAGAGTTGAATGACTCTTATGGGGTTGTCTTTTACTTTCGCAAATATAATAATAATGTGTGGTAAGCCATAGAAACAATATTGGGGGGATAGGGGGAGAGACCCGGGCCAGGACATGTACCGGCGAATCATTTAAGTTCAAGGGGGAAAGAAAATAAATAATTTATGAGTCCTAATGTATACATTTATATACCACAGATGGTCGGCACTGACCAGCAGCGGTGATGGCAGTGATGTAACGACAGACGCTGCAGACACAGAAGCGAACGAGAAGCTATTTGGCATTCAGGTGTGGACCATAAGTACAACCAGCACCTCTGTCACTGTCTTCTACACTGACAGCCGCACCACCATCAGGCTTTCCTACTACTGTGTAGCCGCTGGTATGAGCCTGCCGATTCGAAGATGCGGAGGAGCTCGCTAGAGTAAGGTGGCTGCCCTCCTTTCCGTCAGCCATACCTGCTCTCCTAACTCTTCCAGCAACTTGCCCACCAAACATCCCCTCAATCTGAACCTTCACCCGACGATTTACGTCCGGTGCCTAAAT